TAGAGGTGCCTCCTACCTTAATTTCAAGATCATGACGAGAGATATAAATGTTGTGGAATTTGCATATTTGTGTAAATAAATTTGTCGCGGAAGTTTTGGCTAGATGTATTAGAAATATGTTGAACAAGATGGTGACTTGCAACGGAAATGAACTGAGCTAGTTGGTTATACATTTCGAGAGGAACAAGCTGAACATAGAAAGAAAGGAGAAAAGAAGATAAAAGACTACCGACCTCCGGACTACAGTGAAGGTAGTGAAAAAAGCAGCGGCGGTGCCCCATCGGCCACGTGAAGGCCAAGGGTGCTGAAAGCCGCGTGTGACGCTAGTGTTGAAATCCCGATGAGATCGTGCTGCTAGTCTATTCCTTGTTACCCTGCTGTGCCAGCTGATAATAAAAAAAAAAAGATTGACTGCAGAAACCGTCACTGCTTGTTCTCTATGAATTGCCGTAGCATTCCTTATGAGACAACGACGTAGCTCACTGTGAATTCGACGACGCAAATGTTGAGAAAACACTTTGTTTTATGAATGGTTTACGACGCAGTTAATGACTTCAAGGCGTCCGCAACGCGACACCTCAAATTTGAGTGATTGCTTTGTATCTGTGTAATTGTTTAATATTTTTTTTGCTTTTCTGCACTCGTTTAAAGGGTTCATGAAACGATATTGGGTTGGAATGTTCATGACTTTACAAAGGTCCTAGTCTGGCCCAAGTATACCGGCACGGGCTGTCACTTATTCAGAAGCTTCTTGGTCGTGGTCAAATTGCGAGGATAAAAGGGGACTATTCCTTTTAGTTTTGCCTTTGCAAAGCTTGATAACGTAATTGCTGGATTGAATCCACCAGCCTTACGACAGTGGGGCGCGGCTCATGGATTGGACACGAGAACTGCGTGGGCACTCGACTTTACTTGTAACAATCAATGCATCGACGGACACTAGGGTAGTGGCTCGTGTCCAACCACTGCGGTGATGAGAATAGCCAAACTCTAACAATGCCTGGACCTCAGCACGCGTTTACTACTTTGCCGACCACAGAACGTGGCTATGATTAACGTTGCCGGCATAGGATAGGCACCAGGCCACCTGGCCGCTTGTTCTGGCTCCGAGCTGAGGGGATGAACGATGCTCATAATTCTCGAATTTAATTGCCGAGTGCCATAGCTTAGAATGAAAAACTAAGGCAAGTTTATCCGTTTATTAACGTTAGGGAGTGATTCCAAATAGTATTTAGCGAAAGCAGAAAAATCGTGTTACGGCCCCGGCCTTTATTGTTAAAGCTGTTTCCCCACCATAATTGCAGCTTCGCGTGTGTCGTTTGTCCTGTCTCTGTACACTCGTTTAATGTTCAAGCTGTTTCCCCACCATCATTGCAGCTTCGTGTGTGTGTCTGGTCGTGTCTCTTTGTAATAGCTTAATTTTCCAGCTGTACCACCCCCATCATTGACCACGCACCAACTATAGCTGAACTCGAACCGACAATTGCTTCGTAGCTTGGGCGCAAATATGAATGTGTGCGTACTGCCACTCCATGTATGCGGCGCGGGTTTATCTGCTTGCTAGGACGACGTCGAGGGCGACGTCCTAGAGGACGACTTCCTGAAGGACGACCTCTATGACGATCTCAAGGACGACCTTAAGGATGATCTCAAGGACGACCTCTAGGATGACGTCAAGACAACGTCGAAGATGACGTCTCAAACAGCCTTTAGGGCGATCTCAAGAACCTCTAAGACTTCTAGAACGACCTTAAGGGCGATCTCAAGGACGACCTCTAGGACGACGTCAAGACAACGTCGAAGATGACGTCTCAAACAGCCTTTAGGGCGATCTCAAGAACCTCTAACACTTCTAGAACGACCTTAAGGGCGATCTCAAGGACGACCTCTAGGACGACCTCAAAAACGCCATTTATGACGACGTCGAGGGCGACGTCCTAAAGGAAGGCGTCAAAGACGACGTCTAGGAGGACATCTCGGGCGACCTTAAGGACAACATCTAGGACGACGTCCGCATACGCGTGGCGCCTGCGTATGTGGACGTCGTGGGTATGCGGACGTCCTGCGTATGCGGAGGCGCCGCGCCGCCACGCGACGCATGTGCGCGCCGTGCATACGTACAGCGCATTTGAGGCCAGAGACCGTATCGCGAAAACCGGGTTGCTTAAAAAAATTTCTTTATTATAATTATAACAAGGTGAAATATAATCGCCGACCTTGACTTGAAGGGTCCATGTAACGATCTTTGTAGTTTGCGCAAATACCGCTTAGAACGAATCTCTGACGTTAATAACCTGTGAAACACCCGTTCGTTTTTCACCACACGCAATCCAAGTCACAGAAAAAAGCAAAACAAAACGAGAGGCGCTATCCCCCTGACTCGCAGCCAGAACAAGCGGCCACGTGATCTGGAGCCGATTGTGTAGGGTCCGTGTTTTTGGATAAATCCGAAAAACTCCGAAAAACACCGGCCGGTAAAATTTTGGTCAATTCGGATTTATCCGATAAACTCCGAATATTTATGTGTCAATGCCACACTCCCCCCCCCCCCCCCCCGTCAAAAAAAAAAAAAAAAAGAGTAAAATACTTTTTTTTTTTTTTTTTTTTTTTTTTACAGTTTGATCAGCACAGAGCTAATGGTCCTGGGAAAATTCCACCATAATTATCTTTTAAGTCTCGGGCCGTTGTCAAAAGGGGTCTTTCCACTTGTCTCTTCAAGGTTGATTCAGGGCAACAGGTCGTTCGTCGTACATTCGGGTCACGACAAAAGCCACTCTTTTGGTTTCCAGTTTGGGCCATGCGATTTGTGATTTAGAGAAAGGAAAGGGTATGCTTTAGTAACAGTGAAAGCTATGAACCATAGGGATTGTATAAAATTGGGAAGAGGGACAGTTCAAACGCTCTATTACCTCCTTAAAGGTCGAAGTACACTTCGCGCTTTCCACTCTTGCCCGCCTCCTCCTTTCCTATATCCTCTACACTTTTTACCCTGCCCCAACTTGGCTCCCCTCGCAGCTTAGGAGAGGAGGAACGCTAAAAGGATTATCTTCCTTGCAGAAAACCGAGGTTGTACGTCGGCCTTTAACCACTCCACCTCGCGCGGCCGCGGGCTAGATTGATGGAGTAGGATGGGATGACTACCAGTATCCTAGGGACTACCTCCGGGAGTTCATTGATTTTAGGGTATCGGCGTTTATCGACACGTGGCGAACTTTCCCAGGGTGTCTGCCAACCTGGAAAACCTTTAATTCTCAGGGAAGTTTGGATTACCTGGAAAAGCCAGGGAATCATTCAGAAAGTGGGATAAATAAGGGAAAATAACCCATAGTCAATGAAAGTGGCACGGCGGTTGCTTATCGACACGGCCATGGTGAATAACATTTTCGAAATGTCATCGTTCGATTCAAAAACTCAATTTGAATTTGATAAAAATATAAAAAAAGCTGGAAAAGTAAGGAAATATGAAATCAGTAATTTGGTAGACACAATGTTTCATTTTCTTGACACTCCACGCATTTCTACACACTACAGGCACACGCCGTGGGCAGCATAGTGTAGTCTAGAGTCTCTCGCGTTTCACACGGCCGCTAGGCCAAGCGGTTGCCTACCACTTATGCAAGTTCAATTAGGCACGAGCTTGGAACGCTTTTGTACTGCTGCAAATACACTAGAGCAGCGTCCGGCCGCGTCTCGATTGCCCATGCTAGGACGTCCGACGTCGACTCCGCGTTATGGATACGTCTGATGTATCTTTATACTTTACGTCCTAAATACGTCCGGCGTATCTTTAGACACAACGCCTGATAATAGTAGTGAATAGGGTGACGCTCAGTGCGCAAGTCACTTTATTACAGTCGGAAAGCATAATTTCATTCCTGTTGCGCAGGTAATTCCCCAGCTAGACACGCACTTGAAGACGACGTTGTACTCTTTCTGGGGGAAAGCTATGCGGGTCTTTTCCGCCCTTATGCAATCATTCGCACTTCGTGTCATGTTTTCTCACGTAGCTCCCACAGGTCTAACGTGTTGCCGAGCCGCTGAAGCCCTGGCGTCGCTCCGTCTTAGCGAGAAGAGGCTCACGTGGGTCGTCGTGCAGCACACTGGAGCTACGCGCAGCTCAGAGCCTCCCCTGTGCAGACAAGATGAGACTGAGCAGAGCTCCAAGCTCTTCTGACAAACCTGTGAACTCCTATAAAATAGGTGTCGCACCCCGATTTCTAGAGATCTGGTCACACTGGTAGTGTCGTTGGTCCTCGGCGGCCGTGGAGGAGTGCCGGAAAGCAGAATTCCATCCCTGTTGTGCAGGTAGTTCCCCAGCCAGTCACGCCATTAAAGACGATTTCGCACTCTTTCTGTGGGTAAGCTTCGGAAGGCACTTGTGCAACCATCCACACGTCGTGTCGCCTTTGCTCACATAGCTCCCGCAGGCCCAGCGAGTTGCCGAGCCGCTGCAGCTTTGGCGTCGCTCTGTCCAAACTGAAGAGGCTCACGTGGGTTGTCGGGCAGCGCACTGGAGTGACTCGAGGTTCGCAGCCTCCGCGAGCGCAGATGTGTACTTTTCTGAGGCAGGTCGCACCCGATTCCAGGAGATGTAGCCGCACTGGCAGTCTTGTTCGTCATTGGGCGGCCGTCGAGGAGTGCCGGAGCGCAGAATTCCATTTTTGTTGTGTAGGTAGTTCCCCAGCTAGTCCCTCACTTGAAGACGACATCGCACTCTCTCTCTCTCTCGAGGTAAGCTTCGGAAGGCCTTGTGGACCCATTCGCACGTCGTGTCGCATCTGCCCACGTAGCCCGCAGATGGGAGGGCGGCGAGTTCACATATCAGCCCTATTCGTCCCCCAATTAAGGGTCATATGAGCTCTATAAACATACCTTGCCATGTTGCTTGTCCACCTCTGGCTGCATCTTTGGAACTCTTCGCTCTTTAAGTCATCGTTTTTAGTGCAGAACAGTGCTGTTCTGGGTGCAGTATTCACGAAAGAGCAGACTTTTGAGTGGAAATGCCTTGGTGCTGCAGTGAAGCCGTGGCCTCATTAATATCCGCCAAAGACTACCAACTTAATCGAGAACTGTCGGACGGTGCGACCTCTTTCTGCGGCACTCTGCTGACGGCACATGTGGTGGATTCGCAGCTTGAAGTACTCCAGCATTGTCTGGACCATAATTGCGCAGTGGCACTGGTTCTCGATTGTCTGTGCCAAAAGGTGGTCAAACCTCCTAAACAACGGGGTCACACAGATGATGTCCATTGCCTCTCTCTGCAGTCTTTGTAGCCAGTTCCGCCCTCCTTTGATCGCCTTGTCAAAGTGCCTACGAATCACCCTCTCCGCTATCTTGCGCAGGCTCAGGACGTCCTGTGAGGGGCTGTGGAGCTGACCAGCATTTTTGATCAGATCACTATCAGGTCGCACTTGGCTCTTGTAACAAGTGCGATCTTAGAGCACTCTGGGCACTTGGTCACTTTAGCAAAGTTGGCTTTTACGTTTCCAACAATGCACTCTACAGCACATTCGGCGAACTCGGAAAGCGACTTGTAGGAGACAGTACTGCTGGCCCCTCCGCCTCTTGCGTCCTCAGCCCTTCTCTGGTCTTGCTGGTGCTGCGCCGACGAGCTTACGAGAAGCGTCTCGGTGCCGTTAACCTGGCAGCTGCCGCAAGCTGGGGGCAGAACGTCGGCGTGCAAGCACGTTCTGTGTACTGACCGAAACTCTAGTGCTCTGGGGTTGTTGTTGCTACCCGTCCTGTTCCGTACAGTGGCAAAAACTGCTGCGGCGACAAGCACGAGCAAATATTCGAATCTAAGAAAACAATTGTCTAAAATATCCTTAAAGCGAGCGCAATCACCCACTTCAAAGTTTGAATCTCGTCCAATGTCCGGCGGAGCTAGGGGCTTGCGTTTTTTTCTTCTTTGTGGCGTGCTCCATGCCGGTCCCTCGAGGTCGGGGTCTTCCTCCTCGACGTGATCTAGTGGCCGCTTGGAGGGCTCGGAGCTGTCGTCCATCTCCAGGTCAACATCGGTGGCATCGTTTGAAGACCGTTTCCGTCGACAGTCTTCGTTTGCTGACTTTTTGGGGATATTGAAGTGGCACTGTCGATATCTGTGCCAGTTCCACCGCGGGCAACTGTCTTGTCAGGTTCCAAACTTCACCCGGTAGTGTCTTGTAATGTGCCTCGCTCGACACCGGCTGAAGACATTTGGGCTGAAGACATTTGGGTTGGATGTCCAGTGCCGTCTTCATTTTTCGAGGCTTCTTCACCAATGAACTCCGAGTTATCCTCCTCAGGGGCAGACCGCATTGCATTGACGTACGTGCTGATGCAATCCTCTTGCTCGTTACCAAAACGATGACACTTGTCCCAGAGGGGTACGCGGTATTCTCTACGGCTGTGGCGTGTCCTCTTACATCGAAGACAGAGCGGCGCTCTTCCGGGGACAAAGACTAGAAGGTTGCTGCCGAACGGACGGACCTGGTGCGGTAGGTTATCCTTGGTGACACCTTCATTCAGGTTCATTCTCACCTGCCTTGTCGTCGTCCGGACATTCTGAAAGCCTTCCGCTTTCCATCTGTCTGGGGCTACTTCGTTGATCTTCGCGTAGGGTTCTAGGGGCCTCGTCACTGTGTCGTCGCTGATGTGAATTGGTATCCAGCGCGTGGGACATTTCAGCTGACGAACCACGGCCGGGGAAAGCCGTTGAAGACGATCCATAAGAGCGCTTTTTTTTTTTTGCGACCGTTTCGAACGGCGTCACTCTCTCCACCTTCTGGGCTACGTAAGCGCGCGGCATTGCACCTCCCTTTAAAAAGTGCATCGCCCCGATGCCACAAGGAACAAAACAAGGCAAATTAAAAGAACGGTAAACTAAAGCCTTCTGAACAGAAAAAGTCCACAGCCTATCGAGTGTAGATTGGCTTGAGTCGAACGACCTGAACCACCTCGGATCGTGGTTGGCATCATGCATTGCGTCGGGCACCACTTCGTAGTTGAGCTCCCCGATGCGACAAAGTACCTTGTATGGTCCTAAATACCTTTTCAACAGTTTCTCGCTGAGGCCGCGGTGACGAATGTGTGTACACACCCGTACACTGTCTCCAGTCTGGAAGTGAACGTCCCGGCGACAAAGGTTGTAGCGCCCAGCGTCGACGCGTTGCTGGTCTTGAATGCGCAATCTTGCGAGCTGGCGGAGCTCTTCGGCCCGTTGCGCAACTACCTGGGCGTCGTCGCTCCTGTCGTCAGTTGGCCCGTGGGGCAGCATCGCGTCGAGCGTCGTCGTTACCACGAGCCTCATGCCGCCTCCAAGCCGAAGCTGGTGCGGCAGGCGGTCAAGGCTGACGCCCTTCCGCAAAACGAGGCGTACGATACGGGTTGTCGATTCCACTCCGTCGAAGTCAGGCCCTTTAAACCTCTCGCGCGCTACTTCCTTCACCTCGCCATATATAAGCGAGGTGAAGGTCCTTCTCCGACTACAGTCGGAGAAGGACCGCTGGATGACGTCGTCCGTGACGCTGAAATAAACATAATGCAGTTTGATCCGGATCTCCTGCCGGTACGGGTCGACCACAACGCACTTACGGCCCTTGACTAAAAGTCGCCCCCTCGAGAAGTTTTTGTTCGGTCGCGTAAGTCCTCAGGTCCAGCAGCCAGACGTGAGACATATATGATAAGCCACAATCTTGACCACTTCCGCGAGAACACCTGCTTCACCCAGTGGTTCCCTGAAGTCCTCTATGCGGCACGGGCGACAAGCGTTGTCGCCGTGCAGCACGACTGTGTGTATCATCGACTCTCCTGATGGCAGAGGGGGCAGAATAATTCTGTCTTCTTCGTCGTCGGAAAAAAATATCTGAGTTACCGTGGCCGGCAGGGGCCGTTATCTCCTCTCCTGAGAAGCACATGATTCTTTGACTTTCCGCGTTTGCTGCCGGACGAGGAAGGATACAGTACAGCTCAGTGACTCGGTACACTGCTCGTCCCCCTTTTATACTCGTCATTTTTAGCGTCGATTATCCCGATGACCACCTAACCGCTAAATAATATTGATGTTCTTTTTTTCCTCATTAGCGTCACACCTCCGAAAGTATCTTAAACTGCTCGGGGGGATGTATATCTTCGGAAAAGGTAAACCTCATGCCGTAATTATCTGAAAGCCAGTAAAACAAGCCACTCCAATGTGGTTGCAAGCCATGCGTTTGCTTCCCCGCAGAGACCGTCGTAGAATGGCGCGATTGGACGCCAGTTTTTCTATCGTAGTAATTGTTTTTGTACCTCCACTGTTCCCGTGCGGCTACAAATGTCGTCTTGAACTAATCTCCGTAGAGGGGCTATTCACTCAGCTGAAAATGATGCTTCACGGGCGGAGAAATCGCTTTTCGACCAACATTTATGCAGTCGAAACCGCGACTTGCGGCAGGCGCTGTGTTTGGAGCTACGTCGTGGTGAGTTCGAAACTTCTAGCGCTCTTCCCAGCACGTCACTTAGTGGAGTGTTTTTCCAGGAAACGTAGTATACTTAAACAGAAAAATAAAAGGTAGCTTTTTTTTTTATCAATTTGACCTATTATTTCCTATTAATGCTAAAATTCCAAGCTGTAAATCTACGTACTACCTGCCGTCATATTTCAAGCCTGTTCAGTCCTTCTCCCAGAATGCAATCGCTCTCGGGGAGGGGACAACAGGACAACGCAGACGACAGCCACATTGGCCAGTGTACGATAGGAGCTATGGTTCAGACTGCGTTCCACCATGATTAAAGCCCTGCGCTGATAATAGTTTGATTATCCCCATCTTATCCCCATCCGCAGACTTTTCATCCGCATAGCAACCGCATCCGCATACGAACCGCATCCGCAAAAATTTAGAGCCGCATTCGACCCTTTCGGACATTTATACACAATAAAATTAAGTATAAAAAAAAAAGAAAAAGGAATCTGAGTGGTATCCTATAAGTAGGGTGTGTACTTTCCGGTGTTTATTTGTGAGAAAAATCGGCGGATGTTTTTCGGTGTTTATTTATTTTCGAAACACCGGTGTGTTTCGGTGGAACGTCTCACGACGAGGCTAAAAACGGTGATTATCGGTGAAAAAAAAGCGATTGATCACAGAGAGAGAGTTCCAATTTTATTCACATAGTTCATACACTTCTTCTCTAGGAAGCAACTATTTCTCACACTTGGTTATTATAGTAGATGCAAGCATACTTTCATGCTTGCATCTACACGCAAAGAACGTGCTGCCGTCATGGCAGCACGTTCCTTGCGGTTCGCAACCCGCAATTATGAAAACGCACGCTCCTGTACGACACGGACGTTGGCAGTGTCTTCCAGGAACCACAGCAACCTCTGAATACATGGCTTGCACCGACATCACTTGGCCAGACCCAATGTGGAAAAGGGACGTGAGAGCCTACCCTCCACTGTGTTAATTTTTCCACAAAAGGGGGCCATGGGAGACACAGTAGGGGAAAGGCGTATGAGAGCTTAGTTTCCACTGCGTTCACCAGACGCTCTTGAACCCCAGAAAGGAGGGCGGACTGACGCCACCTGCAAGCCATGTATAAACACTGGAAGAATGCAGGATCCACGAGATAACACGTTTGACGAACCTCTACGGGGAAAGGGTTTCGCTTGGTCGGAAACTAGCAACGACCGGTGTTTTTCGGTTTTAACCAGGGCGAAAATATCCAACCACCGGTGTTCTTCGGTTTTAACCGATTTTATATTTTCGTCACCGACGGATGTTTATCGGTGTTTTTCGGTTAAAACCGGAAAATGCACACCCTACCTATAAGCCGTCTGCTTACCTTTCTACAAAGAACTCTTCCTGTCAGAATGCGGTAAAAGTCATTTATCATATTTATAAGATAAGCGAGGATCCTTCCAGAGGCGCTTGGCATCACTAGAGCGATGAAACCAATTATGAGATCGTCTTGGGAGTCCCTGACACCGACACTCTGTCCATAAGATGCGCTCAAAAGGAAAGAAATTTTAATATTTATTTTTCTTTTTGTTCCTTAAAACCCACCTCAGCAGACGCATATTTTGTAAACATAAAAATTGTGTAATTTTACTTAGGCGTAACGCGGTTATTGGTAACGCGTTACCGCCAACGCTGGTTTTACATATATTGACACAGCTGTAGGGGGAGGAAAGGCGCTCACTCACCGCAGGAAAGTACTGTGTATATGTGGTAAGG